AAACGACGACGGTAATTATTGGACTTTTGCCGACACTTTTACGACTCGCGTCTAAATCCTTTAGCGAAATATCCTCTTAAACTCTTCCTAACTCTATTCGCAAATCCTCCCGGTATGCTAGAGCTTGTTATCACGATGGCGCACATGTGAGGTGTAAGAGAAGCGATATATAGTCCATAGAAGTTGAGAACAAAAAAAAAAAACAAAAAAACGCGAAAATGAAACTTTCACAGAGTGAGCGTCGACGTGTCCACAGTAGTTTGCGCGGCAGAAAATTTTATAGAGAATTTTTTTTCGCACAAAATCATGAAAAATAAATTATATGTATTATAATTATACACTTATATAAAAGTTAAGAAACAAAACTTAATATTTTTAACATTACATTGCTGACCAATAAGATGTCGCACATTATTTCTGAAGTTTTATTTTCGAATAAATCGAATAATTTACTTTCATCGCTCCTCACAATTTTTCACTATCTCAGTAATGTGTATATTCATTCACATATCAAAGTTCTTAAATAACTTCTTTGTCTCTTAACTCTTCAGTAAGTTTATATTAACGTTCCATCAAATTCCACATTTCGTCGAATTTATGAGTGAGAAATTGGCTTTTATTTCAAATTTCGTCGGAATTTTATAATCGCTTAAATACCTCACAATTATATATTCAATAAATATTCAAAGCGACGCGAATACATAATCGTTTTCTCTATTATCTTACAGTTTTCGAAAAAAAAAAGAAAATCTAAACGTTTTTATCCGCTCAATAATTCTTGATGTACATTTCTACAGTACTGAAATAATTCACGATTTTTGTTCACATGTTCGAGCGTCCGGTTGAATGAAACTGGAATAAAATGAAGAGCTATTAGTCCACATGACAAAATGTAAGCGCGCGTTAAATTATTCATGTCTATTACTGTATAGCGCGGCGGTATATAGTGAAGACTTCTCTTCTGCGTGTAACTAATTCATTACTCTCAATCCCCTAATGAGATTACTCTGAGTAGTCCGCGCGCGATAATGTATAACTAATGTTACCGTATAAATGCGAGACGCGCGAAAGGAAGAGTCCCCGGCGTATTCTTAATCATAATTCTTTCTTAACGAATCGCAAAGAGCAAAGCTTAAGCACGTTCGGTAATCAGATCAGGATTTCAGATGTTCAAGTAATAACACGTCGATATAAATTAATAAAAGCGAAATCCTCTTTTAGAGAAGACCATCGGAGCGAATACTTTATTACATTAAATTATTATTATATTTTATTACATTAAATTATTCGTTCTTAAAGATTTGCAGATTTGTTTGAACATGGTCTTGGGATGGAAGAAGAAGCGCTTGCACACAACGTGTATAATCTTTGCGCACATCGAAAATCGACTTTCAAAAAAATATATCACAAATATTTTTTATACATGCAAATTTACGATCAAACGTTTATTTATTTTCGTCAGCAAATACTTAAATATTTACAACTCGAAGTTTCGCATTTATTTAAAACGGAAAGATATAAAATTTACTGGCGAGAGAGTCACTCCGCATATATCGATCGTTTAACTTCTCGCGGGTAAAATAAGGTGAGGTGTTGTAAAACGAAATACGACATGGGATGTAAAATTATGGATCGTTGACCTGATAGCGGATGTGGAAAAGTAGCAATTTCTCCCATGAGTGCGCCGTGAGCGAGAGACACACAAATATCCAATAGATATATCTCTCACAGCTATGTTAATCAACACATGAATACAAATCGGATCACAACTTCGGTTTGGTCGTTCGCATATGGAATTATACATACATATATATTCGCGTTAAAATTCATATTTTTTGTGTGAGTAATCGTATCACAGCGGGGAATAATAACGAAACATGATCGTATTCAGAATGATTTTCTGTAGTTCGACGACTGATTACTTATTATATATACAGATAGTATATATGTAATAAGTAGTATATATATATAACTAGATAGAATACTAGATAGTATATATATAATACTATGTAGATAGTTGTTACTCTTAAATTTTGACGTCTCGTAACGTATAAAACACACATTTAAAATTTATTACCATTTAAAACGCATCAAATAATGCATGAGGCAGAATTTAGTTATTACAAAGCTTCGCTCAAATTGGCGCCGTTTGTTTCACGCTCCGATACGCAGACTGACATTGGATAAATTAATGAACATGAATTTTTATATAAATTAGTAGAGATAATTTTGTGAAAAATCACAGTGTTGAATTTTTCTCATTATGAAAAACAAAAACATATATTATATTTGTTGGTTAAATACGCGTTTATTAATATCAAACATTTATTACGCAACGTCAAAATAAAGTTGCGAAGTATAATGCGCGCGAGATCGAAGTTTGATTAAAAAATAAATTAAAATTCAGTTTTTTCTTGATTAATTCTGTGAAGGTGGTTAGGTTTTTATAGAAGACTGTCGCATTTTAATTAAAGAGAGATATGTACAAAGACTGATAGTAATTGAATTTGATGCGACGTCGAACAATTTTGTCGAAAATTCATTAAATCCAAAATGCGAATGAATGTTGGTAAATTTTCGTAAATTGTTTTTGATCGGTATAATGGATGTTTACAGAGAAACGTGAATCCATGCGAGAGAATACAAACCAAGCTCTCTATCTTGGCCGCACGAATGCGCGGCCTGCCGTGCGAAAACCGCGCTTGCACACGTCATTTACACGTCTACCGCATTTTCGAAACAGCGGCGGAATGTGGCTTAATTAACCTGTCAGCGTGCGAGCAGCGTCTACAGCCCATGTAGACTTCAGATGCTTTTAAAACATGACGTGACAATATGCGCGAGTCGTAATACGCGCTTCACAGATTATTAATCCGGCTTCGTTCACGCATCCGGATGACGTATTCCGAACGCGTTGGCTCATTACCGTCGAATTCTCAAGAAAATCGAATATTCTGATATATGTGACATAATTTTTATATTAAATCAGTCAGAAAGAAAAGAGTATTAGAAGAGAATGCCAAGCAAATTCTTTTTTATAAAAAAAATATTTTCGAAAAATAATCAAGTAACTTTACAAGTATCAAAGTGTTTGTCAATTAATAGTCGGAAAAATTGTGAGAAAAATTAACAATTTTTATTAAAAAATTATCTTTATCTATAAGAAAATACTAACAAATACAAAATACATTACAAAAATATTTTTGCAAATAACACGGGAATTTTATTAAAAATGTTTGTTATTGTTTTAATATTTTGATTGTTTGTAATATTTTTGTTGTTCTTTTTATAGCATCGATGACAGTTTGCATCCTGTTTTGGCGTGGATAAAATTGAAATATCACGTTAATTGAGATATTTATTTACGTATTGTCGAATTTTCTCGAAATACGTTGTTTACATGAACGATTTTATACGGAAATTGTGCGTCTATATACAATCTATTTGTAAACATAATAATAATAGTATATGTTCTTACCTTATTTAATTTTCATATTTATAAAGCACATGTAGATTTTCTCTCTTTCTCTCTCTCTCTCTTTGCCCGTGTATACACAAACATATATTTCAATTATAAACCACCATCTTTGCGCGATCGTAAATATTGTCGCAAATACAAATTTGCTCGTTTCAGGAAATTGCTCTCAACAATGTGTGGCTGTTAGCGTAAAAACTTTACGATTTATTAGTATCGCTTCGATTGTAGCTGCGATGGCGAGAAATAACGGCTCGTTCACGATGGGATTGAGTTGTTGTTACTGTCATTAAACCGGGCTTGTGTACGCGGTTGTGAGAGAGCCTGTCTGATTTACGAAAATGAACTCTCGCATTTGCGACGTAATTCTATTATCCAGTCAAATCTCGCTTGCGCGCATTGCGGAGAAAGGAATGACGCGCGCGCTTCTCGTACGCAAACGCGCATAATATCGTATAGCCGAGCTGCAATAGCTGAAGCGCGGTATCATTCGGACGAATTAATGCAATTGCTATCCTACTAGAACGCATAGCTTAACCAGGGTATTTCATCCTTCACGCTGTGTCAGAGATAAAATAGTCTTTTTTTTTTTTTTTTTTATCGTTGGATTAACGTAAACGAAAAGATCGCACAATTACGCGTTATTGTGCTTTTTTAAACGAGTTAAAATATTTATACAGAAAGTGTAGCGCGTTTCTTTAATTCAGCAGGAATATTTTTCAGCAAGAGAATTGAAGAGAAGCTTCATAAACGAAATTTTTATGTGAATATTATAACTTTCGTTGCGCGCTTAATAGCTTCTATCTTTAGTCTCAGAATGTGATTAGAATTTCAATATATTTCCAAACTATATAAAATTCCAAAACTCTTCAACAACTATACGCGAGATTTACGCGAATTGCATCGCGCGTTAATCTCTCTCGAAATTCGAAACATCCGTGAAATACATTTTAGTTGGCGAGGTGGGGAGGGAATCTACATTCCCCCTCAACGATACATGATGTTTCGAAATTATCCGCTTCGTCGATTGCGCCGCTATTAATTCCGTTTTCGACTAGCTGCGCGAATGATTGAGAACTCATCATCACTGTTCGTCTTCCGCTTTGTAACACGGAGATACAGCGGCATTAACGAATACACTTATCAGTAATCGATAGCAACATTGTGCTGACATTTCCTTTATCCACATTTCAAATATATTACCGCGCCGTGCCACACACACGCACATAGAACCGACACAGTATGCTTGAACCGTGTAACACGCATCCAGTATCGATGTATGCAAATTTCATTCCACAAACATTACACGTGACAAATTTCATGGGGAGGATTAAATTAAGGCAGTGCTGAGAGAAATGGAGAGACCATATAACTTGTAACTCTCTGTAACACACAGTGAATATTCCGGCGTCTTTTATTAAATAAAATATTAACACCAAAATGCATAAATTAAATTAAGAAAAAAAAAAGGGAAACACGAGATTATATTATTCAATTTATTGTGAAATTTATTAGTGTGATAAATTTACATTATATATTTATAATATTTATAATTTATATATTTAATTTATTTATAAAAAAAATTTTTAAGTTTAGCCTACCTACTAAGATTCGGATAGAATATCTTCCAGCGTTTTGTCATCGTGAAGAGGCGAGTGTCCTAGTGTGGGATCGCTCTCCAGGAACTCGCGCAACTCCGACTCAAGATCGGTCGACTCCGTCGCGCTTAGAAGAGAAGGTGGCGTTTGATTGCTGTGCGTCATGCCGATTTGCATTTGCATCGACGACTGATTCGCGCCCACAATACCGATATTCTGACTTTGCTGGCCGGTCGGGCTCAACAAATTCGCGTTTGAAATCGACGAAGGGGGCAACAAGGTTGACAATACTTGATTGTTGTCGTTAGTCGGATTCGGAGGCAGCAATGAATTGTCGGCGACGATGGCAGGGTTGTGCGTGATCGGCTCGACTTCCATGGGTTCCGGTCCACCCAGAGGCGCTATTCCCATCGCTCTGCGTAGACTGTCGACCGGAGCTATTTGCGACGGCGGTAGTTTCTTGGCAATGTCAGTGAGATTGTCAGTGATCTTCTCTGCCAATATAACTTCGTTGTCACCCGCCTTAGGAACATTAGATAGATGCGCCGGGGGTGGCGCCGATAAACGCTCATGTTGTATCTGCTTTAATCGACCCAACATTTGTGACGTATCGTCTAGACGACTTTGTAAAGCTGCGCGTTCCTCGCTATACTTAAATTCTTCCTCTGTAAACAAAAAATGTATTACATGAAATTTGACAACACGACAAAGAAACAATAAGCAATATCTTACATATCGAACTTTTTTTATGTGAATGGATTTTTTTAATTACCTAAATTTTCTAAGAAGTTTATATCGATACCAAGTTCCGAGAGCGTCTTCAGCTGCTCGATATCGACTTTGACCTTTTCCAGCGACGGAATGTCACGATCCACGTTCTGGGTAGGGCTCTCCAACAAATGCTTGATCTTCTCCTCTTCTTCCTTCAATCTACGTTTTTCTTCCAGAAATTTTTTCGTCTTTCTGTGTTCACCGTCTGTGAGAATATCCAGCAATTCATCGACCATAGTCAATGTGTAATCACAGTCCTTAGCGAAGTCCAAGATGGATTCTGCGTATTGCACGGCAGTATCATCGCCATAGGTCTGATAAACCAGATCCGTTTCCTCCTTGGTAAGATTCGCGAACGTCGAGTCGTAGCTTGGCGCGTACGAGCCAAACGCGCCATAATACAAGGACTTTACTGGTTTCGACATATTCCTGCGATCCTCGCGGAATCCAGCCAACACTCCTGTTCCATGGTTCAACTTGCCTATCAATTGACCTAGCGATACTGGTCTTTGATTGGTACCGGGAATGATTCCATCACCGGGTACAATGATCTGCAGGCTAGTAGTACCATCTTTCTTCTGCCTCAGCAGACCCATCTTCGAATTGACCTTCTTCAGACTGAGCTTCTCCGCCGCTGCCTTTGCCGCTCCTCTTGCCTGCTTCAGTATCTCTTCCGGTGTTAGATCGTCCGGTATCGCCTCGAATTTACCTAAATTAGCCAGTCTCATCTTTCTCTGATTTTCTTTTCTAAGTTCCTCCGCTTCCTCGTTTCGTTCCTCTTGTTCGCGTTCCCGCTCGATTTGCTCTTCCGTCGTTGGAGTGTCTGGATTATTCGGATCCTCAACGCCCAATTCGAATCCCAATTCCTCTTTCGTGATGTCATTCATATACGTGAGAACCGATCTGAGCTGACGTAGTTTTTCGGGCGTGACCGTCTTCAAACCTACATGCAGCAATTTCTTCGCCGCTTTGTAGTAGATAGTATCGGGATGATTGTATGTTGTTGCATTGTCGCACATGAGCTTGAAATCATCCACGAATTCCTGCAGATTCTGATAATTATTATCGTCTATTTTCTGCTTTATCGTGCTAAAATCCATAGGATTTGTGATTATTTGAGAATAACCGGGTGCAATGCTGTCTGTAACTGGCCAAGCGAAGAACTGCTGCGGATCTCGCTTTTCCAGTGACCTCAGCAAATGCTCCAGTAATCTCTGAAGGGGTGTGCGCTCCGCTATCTTTCTCAAGACGCATGTTCTGGGCTCGCGATGCGGCGACAGGGAACTTATATTACTAGCACCGACTCGTAACTCACCGCTCGATGGTGGTCTAGGTGGCAACAATTGATTATGATTAGTGCACGGTTTTTTAGGTATAGGTTCTGCTAAGTTCTCGTCGGCATCGCCAACTGATTCTTGACTCGATTCTTCCCTCCGTCTCTTCTTGTCCTTGTGATGATGCTTGTGACGCTTGTCCTTCTTCTTTTTCTTTTTTTTGAGCTTCTTATGGCCGACATATCTGTCGTATTCTGTATCGCCTGGACTAACAGAATAATTAAGACCTAATTGTTGCTGATAGTGCTGCGACAGCATGGTGGCCTGACTTGGCGATTCGCTGCCGTGTTCGGGGGTTCCAGTACTGCCTCCTACTTTTAAAATTAACTTCAGGCTAGGAGGTTTGTCCGTCGTTGTGTACTGGCTCTCTGCTAAACAAGGATAAGAATAAAAGCAGTTAACTATTGTTAAATACACACTAAACACACATATACATATGTAATTTCTCATAAGCAGCATACTAAGATCGTTGTTTCTATAAAGCCATACACATAATTCGTTGTAAAATGTGCCGCATGCAGCAATCAGAAAGTCTCGCAGAAAATTATGCACAGTGCAGGGTAAGAGTGTAATATAGCAACACATGAAAATATATGATGCTAAATGTCACAATGTAACTTCAAGATATCGAAAGAGACTGTAAAAATTGTGTGAATGAATATAATAAAAAATCTACAGGATATTAAAAGAAAGAAACAGATGGATGGGAAATCATATCGGCGACAAAGATGACTTTAGAATAACATGATAGTGACCTTGTTTTCACATTCAACAAACTGGAAGCGAGATGGAAGTAACTCGACTTAAACTAAACAAATCGTAATATAGAAATATGTACTAAAAAAATAATCTTCATCGTTATTATTAAATTCACTGAATAATTGGGGGGGTGGGGTGGGAGAAGTAATTAGGGAGAGCAATCATCGAAAATACCTCGCTAAGAGGTAAAGCAAAAGCATGTATGGCCTTCAATGCCATAATACATAACAGCCAAAGGAACTATATGTGATTGAAGTGCAACAGGCTTGTCAGTGTGTAGCTGTCTCTGAACGTGTGTATCCCGTTATCCTACACATTATTGCGCTCTATTGTTAACAAGAAAAATAACTCTAATATAACTCTTGTTGCACTTCAACAGATATTCAATAGACAGAAAAAAAAAAAAATGAAAGGGCATTTGGGGCATTTGATAAATTTTAGAAGCGTAGCTAGCTTCTGTCGTGCAACCAGTCCATGTCCGTTGTTTATTCGTCACTTACTTCCACGTCGCACCTGTTGCTGTGGAACGCTCGGTTTATACTTTTGAATCCACCTCACTTCTACTCTTCACTCTCAGTTTGTCGGCGGTGAAAACGTAGTCAAAATTCCTGTGCATCATTGAACTATGAGAATGAGAAGGATCCCAATGAAAATTATAAACTGTCGATAAATCAGACAAAATATGAAGAACTCAATCATCTCTCTCTCTCAATCTCTCAATCTCTCTCTCTCTCTCTCTTTCTTTCAGCAGTTTTTTCATTCGGATCCTTTATTGTCATGATTTACATACATATACAAAACTATATAGGTGCAGTATAAAATGATGCCTGAGCACATTCTTATTACAAATCTAACCCAACATATCGCATCTAATTCTCGCTCTCGAGGAAGAACACTTTTTCGAAGCATCTTTTCTCAATTGACAGAAGAAAAATCATTTTTAACAAGAAGATGACACAAGAGTTTGTCATTGTTGCGTCCAGTTTACTCACTGGTTGCAAACATGAACGAGCGAGAAACAAACGATTGATTTTCGTTTGATGACTGATCAAATAAAATCAGTAGGAGCGAAAGGAAAAATCCGGGAGCGATTTTGAGCAATCCGGATAAAAAAGACAGAAGAGTTGCGCGAAATAAAACCGGACCACATAAATAAGAACCAAAGTGTCTCAACCAAACAAAATCGTTCTCGCGTCGCTCCTCACCTTCGTATCGCTCGCGTTTATGTTTTTTGTGTTTCTTCGAGCCCATGTTCTGTGCGTTCAGCCACAGCTTCGCGCGGAAAAATAACAAAACTATTCAGCTTTCTCTTGCACGTCAGCGGCCGCCGCACTTCGTTGCGTGTGTAGACAACACACAGTGGCAGCCATAATGACGGCGTCACAAAAATTCCTCGCGACGCGTTCCGTTTAACCAAACTCAACGAAACGCTGAAACGCGGACTGTCATGGCGTCACGCCATGCGCGCGCGATTCGGAGATTCTATCAAATCTATATACACGATGCTCAAGATATACTTTCGAACGTATCGCGTTGTTTTTCAATTAGAAAAATACATTTTGCACGTAATGATATTTTCGAAATATAGCGCGCACCGTAAATTTCTCATCCCAACCTCGAATCAAAAAATCATCGACACGACGGACGTGGAAACGTGATGATGTTTGTTGCGATAATAAAACTTCTGACAGCCTCGATCACACATATACACACGTCATCGGTGAGTAGATATGTGAACAAACTTGATATTCATTTCAGTCTTCGGACTGAAATTTCATTCTGAAAACCACGGTGGCAAGAGTGTGTTTGAACGCACGAAGTTTGACTGAGGATCGACAAAATGATTAGATTCGAATTCGACCGAATGCCCATGCACACGAGCAAATTTGTGAAACTTCGTGTTTCAAGTATGGCGGCCATTGCGCGTTCCTGCGCCCGTTGGTAGGCACGAAGCTTTGCGGGCGAGAGAACCCCTTCCTAACCTACAAAGGTGCTTTACGCACCGGGTACCCGATACTCACGATCGCACGAGCAGGTAATCGCGCGCATTCGAACGCAGCTCGATCGAATATCGAACGTTTTTTCTAACGATTTAAAGAACTCACCTTGGGCGACGACGACGACGCGACGACGACGCGATTAAAGGGACACCGGATCAGCTGTTTCGCGCTTGAAACGCCAAAGAGATAGACGGACAAAGAGAAAGAGAGAGACGAAGAAACGCCGTCGCGTTCCCTGCGGGCTGCAGCTTCGAAAAAAAATACCGCATACTCTCCCGGCGTACTGTATTTAATAGCACTGCGTATCTCATGATGCGCTGAATTGTCGGTTTCTGATGTGCCAACCGATTCGCGCCCTTCCGTCGCAATCAGTGCGAGACGTGATAAACGTGTATCAAAGACCGATAAAAATATAAACTTCTCTATTAATTTGAAACGAAGTATAATGTTACAAAACAGAATCTTTTATCTATATATATATATATAGTTATTTAACAAATATTAACAAAAATATTAATTTAAGCAACTGTAAAAGCAATTACTTTCATTGTTTTGACAATGACAATATTTAAACTTAAATATATTAAATCTGATATTTGATGCTATTTAAGTTTTTTATATTTTAAGATATGAAAAAAAAAAACTAAATGATATATCGCATCAGTGATTTGTATATATAGCAAAATCAATTGGGAAAATGCTTCTTTCAATAAATATCCATTTGTTATTTCTTTCTTAGAAATGATTTACGCAATCAGTAATGTTTTATGCAATAGACGTTTCGAAGCGCGATGTAAATGTATGCTTGTGGGAAAATATCGACGATTTGACGCAACACATCGTCTTATTTTTATCGTTTTAATTTTCTTCGCACAAATATTATTTCGAATTAAGATATAAATAATTGTTTGCACATGAGTGCGCGCGCGCGCGCGCGTGTTGTCGATTCTGTTGCGAGACTGTCGATTTGCACTATCATCAAAAACGTGTTGCATGTATTTTACTTTTTGCGAATATTCGCGATGTGTTTTAATGTGTGGCCCACACATTCAATAATTCGCTAGTTACATCACTGTGTGTCGACACACAGTGGGTGGTTGAGGGCCCGCGAGAGGGCGAAGCCGACACTGTGAACGCACATTGCAAAAAAATTACATTGAGTGCACCATCGACAACAATTCCGATGTCAACTCAATGCCAAACTCCATATTCTGAGTCAGCTCTCTCTGTGTTTACTCCTCTACGCTCTCGTCTTTTTATTTTTATTCTCAGCTCCGTTCGTTCTTTTCATACACCGTGCTTTTGTCTCCTCCGTTCTTTGTCTCGTAGTTTTCTTTGCCTACGTCTTTCTCTATTTATCTTCTTTTTTCTTCTCTCTCTTTTTATTCTCTCTCTTTGTTACCTATTGCGTCACAATTATTTTCACAAGAAAATAAGAAATTTTTAATTAATTATTCTTTTTGTGCCTTTATGTTATCCGACATCTCGAAGCCGTTCTCTTTCAAGACCGAATCAAAAACTTGTCTATTCTGAATTTTTAACTTTTGTTCTCTCTCTCTCTCTCTCTCTCTATTTTTTAACTCTATCTTTTGATCTTTATCGGTCCTTTTTACATGTCATTTAACATCGCGTCTTCTCCGTTCATTGTCATCGGGTTTTCCGCCCTTTCTTGTGTGCGCACACACTTTCCCTCTCCATCTTTCATTCTTGTCGGCGTACCAGACGGGATTCTCTTCTCCCCGGCCGGCGTCCCAATCGCGCGTAATCCCGTCTTTCTCTCACGCCGGTACTCTCTCCTTCTCCAGTCACTGCCCTTTTTCCCCACCACTCGCGCGGTGTCGCGTATGTGATAGCGCCGTGCCGGAGCGACGACGGCGTGCACAGTAGCGTTCTGTAATTTCTCAACAGCGAATGGGGAACGCGCACGCGAATAGTCGCGCGCGAACGTGCCGGATTTCGTTTGTATATTTCGAGTGTCGTTAGTGTGTGTGAGAGTCGGGCGACGCGTCTCCGATAAAACGTCTTCGGGCTCGCAATCGTTGTTCGTTCTCGTCGTCGCAAGACAGAAGCAAAAGCACGCAAACACCGGGCCTTCAAAAGGAAGGATCAGAAGATGGAGCGGTTTCGTGTGACGCCGGCGAGCAACGCCGTCCGCTACACGCAGCAATCGCCGGTACGCGATTACGGTGAGTGTGCGTCTGCGTGTTTGAAATTTCACTCATGCGTGTGCATACTGTGTGTCATCGCGCGCGATAAGACTCCACGTGCTCCTGATTGAAGAGACAGCGACGCGCGCGTATTTTTAACGCCGAGTCTTTATGCACGAGTATTAAAAAATGCAACCCACCATGTTGCGCGCGGCCCGCGCGCTTCGCGTCGTTCCGGAGCATCGGCGAGAGACGGCGCGTGCTTGTCGCGGGTCGAAACCCCAGCGCCACGTGATTCCGTTGTGCGTACGGAAGAGACAGGGTGTGCTTGATGTGTGTGTGTGTGTGTATGACACTCAAAGAATGTATAAAAATATAAATATTGTTGTTTACATACAAGAGCGCTTTGAAGTAAAACTTATCGAGTGGCTTTCGGAAAAAATAAGCTCAAATAAAAAAATAAAATTGAAATAGAATTTTTCACATTTTTTTTTTTTTTTATCTCTTGGAAAATAGAATTTTACAAAAATATAAAATGTAGAATGAAAAATTCAAGTATCGGTCGCGAATAAAATGAAGCTCTTCGTGAAAAAAAAATTTTAATTTTAAATAGAACGGAATTATATCACGTACACGTGCCGACAGAACACACAAAATACATTTGATTACATAATTATGTAATAGCGAGATTAATCAATCAACCGCGCGCGACTGAATAAAAAGATGCTTGCGGAAAACATCTAGCAGCAAATTGCATTAACCTTGCTACATTATTCATGCATTTGTGTGTGAACAATTATGTTCAATCCGGTCTATTTTCTGCACGAAAGAATGAATGTATAACGAAATGTTTTCTCTCTGCGATAAAAAGCAACAAGTAATTCGGGCCTTTTGCCAACCGATAGTTTGTATCGTATCGCTATGTAATTTTGAAACTTATGCATTTCGGCGCATAAGATCATACGTCGTTCTTTATTTTATCGTTCGTGGCATCGCACGCAAAGTGTTTGAAGGGTAAGTCGCCGTGTTAGGAGAGACTTTCGCTCCAAGGCCGATCGATCGATTGTTGTTACGGTAGAGATTAAGACCGATCGTGTTTAGAGTAAGTAACCGCGATCAATAGATTGTTTCGTAAGTATTTTTGCCACATTTTATATTTTTACGTCAGATTTCAAAAACGGATTAAAAGAAAAAAAGTGTTTGTTTTCAGTGAAAATTTATTTGCGAATCTATCGCTTTTCAAAATCCGAGTCTGTTTTTTTTTTCTTAAATAATTTATGATCGGCATTTGTCAGGGATTTGCTCTTTGTGTTTTCACGAAATTTCAACTCTCTCTAATATTGTGCGCAAATGCTATTTTTATCGGGAAGCGCTTAAGCGCACATTTAATAAGTGTAATTTAATGCCATTCCCCACTTATACCACATCATTCAATATTTCTTGATCTTATTGAACCTATCGGTCATCGACTTAAAGTACTAGTCGATACAAAGTTGCATACTAACCGAATGTAAATGACAAACAGGCTCAATAATACATTGCAATTAGAATAATATTAAAAAGGCCTAATATTAGAATAATATTAAGGAATAAGATCGTACAAGACGTTAATTATCAATATTTTTAATATAATATATGATAACTAAAGTAGTCATTAATTATAAATTAGAAAAACAAGATTATATATATATAATTACATTGTAAAAAATCATTTATTATATTAAAGCTTGAATTGATAAACGCATACCTACATAAATTCAACCGAACATTTCGACCGAACACACACAAGATTCTTTTCAGCGATATAACATATCAAAAATAATAATATATTAACAAATTACCAGGCAAGGTCAAAACACAAGAGATCAAACATAACATAAATAACGAAACGGAATATATAAACAAAAGAGAGAAACATATTATAACAAACGCTTGCAATATTTGCACCGCTCACACAGTTTGCTCTAACAGTTTCACTCAAACATGCCATTCTGTGTAGGTTTTTGTTAATTAAATCATACAGCAAATAAACGTAAAAACATTTTGTTACAATCACACAACATTTCAAAATAGACGTTATATTTAAAGTTGTTAATGTACGTACCTTATTATTTACGTTTATTATGTATATGTTTTACGATACATTGTTTTAAAATAATTTAGATGAAAAATTTTTATAATGTATATAACAATCTTCATGTATAATTTTTACTAATGTAGTTTTATTAAAAATACATTATTTGTTTA